CCACATGCCGCGGAGCGGCTGGGTCCGTGAGCCATGGCCGCTGAGCCTGCGCGTCTGGAGCCTGTGCTCCGCAACGGGAGAGGCCACAACAGTGAGAGGCCCGTGTACCGCAAAAAAAAAAAAGAATTGGGTTATTACCATATAGCATGTGGATGCTACAAGACAGGTCAGTACCTGGTGCTAAGGAAGCATATGCTAAGGGAAACTAGCTGAGAATCACCAACAGGAAAGATTTCTTGGAGAAGTTGATGCCTAATCTGAATTTAGAAGAATAAGGAGAGAAACAGAGAAGGTGATATGAAAGAATGCAAGTAAAGGCCTAGAAATGAGTCAATGTGGCAAGTAGTTTGGACTATCTAGAGTATAGAGGGGCAAGTGAGACCCAGGTAACTAATAGTTTTTTCTGGACATTTATCCTAGAGGTTAGGCAGCACAATTAAAGGATTGATATCCAGGCAATGGTATGAGTAAGCTTGCCCTTCACTAATTTTCCTTTTGGAGCAAAGTTGAAAATGGGCTGGGGGAAAAGGTGGGTATGGGAGGGGCAAAAACAGAGACAGGGGGATCAGTTAGGTATGGTGGCCATACAGGGGAGAAGTGATGAGAGCCTGAGCTCAGACATTGATACCAGGGACAGGAAGGAGGAGAGTACAGAGGTGCTGAGAAATTAGAAATGCTTCGATGTGGTTACCAAGCGGACATCAGTATTAAGGAAGAGGAGGAAGTCTTTGATCGCTCCCAGTTTTTGACTCTAAGACGTATGTGATGGGAGGGACTATTCATAGTTGATATAATGTGAGGAAAGGAATAGATCTAGACAAGCATGCTGTGTTTGAGGGGACTGTGGAATAGCCCAGGAATCATAACAGTAGGCAGTTGGAAATCCATATGAGATTTATATTCTTTTTTGGAAAATCTGGATGTTGAAACTTTAGTTGCATTAACACTTTACTCTGACTGCCTCATATGCATTCATGCACCTTGTTAATGGACCACAGGCTCTTCCTGGTTATTCTGCAGAGCTACTCGGCAAGATGCATTTCTTTCCACAGTTCTGCCTTAGCCCTAGCTCAAGCTTCCTTCTAGGTCACTGGATCATCTTTTAAAATGCTTTCCTTGCCTCCAAGCCTTTATCCTCATACCTATACCAGAGAGTGATCTCCTTCAAGCAAAGATCTTATCCCATCTGCCCTCTGTTTGAAAAGCTTTGTTGGTTTCCTGTTACCAGTAGCAGTGGTTCTCAACGGCAGGCTGCTGACACAGTCTAGGATGTATATAAGTTGATCTTAACAATTATTAACAATTTGCAATAAAGTTTATACTTAAAATGTCCTGAAAATGTATTTTATTATTATGAGTATGTTAAAACATAAATGTCCTTCTGTGACAAATTAGACTTGGTTTTTCACATTATCGTTTCAGGACAAGAACGACTTAAGGGGGAGGAAATACTGAGATCTATTTAGCTATGATGCCACCTTTTCTTTCCAGTCACCTCTCCCATTGTAGCCTCCATCAGCTGTCTCTACTGCAACCAGATTGTGTTACACATTTCCTCTGGCACTGGGCTTCCCTCCTCCTAGGCTAGTTCCTCCTCTTCTGTCCCTGCTGCCTGAGATTCCACCCTCTTTTATAAATTAGCATCAACCTCCTGCATCCTATGAATCATTAGCCCCATTCGTACCCCTATCCAGTCGGTTGAAATTATTTTTTTTGCCTTTGCTCCTTTAGGACATTAGGTGAGTTTTATTATAGCACTAACCAAATTGTACCTTGTATCAAAAAGAGCTTTGTACTTGTTTGTCTCCCTTACTATGCTGTGAGCTCCATGAGGTCAAGGACTATGGTTCCAATTTTTGTTTTCTGCTAGAGTTGTCTGACATAGTTCTCTGCACATTATAGGTGCTCAAGAAATATTTATTGATGCTGTCTTGGATTATTGCATTTCACAATCTATATGTTTATATATACTTCAAATATATTTAAGAATATCTATTTTTATTATATTTTATGTATTCGAGATATATAGCCATTCTAGGTGGATATTCTTTGCTGTATAATATATGTATTTTTTCCCACACCACAAACATGTTTGTGTTAATAAACACTTAATGGATCCTTTTTGTTCATTTGTTTAATGGTTTTTATATCATACATCAAGTTGAGAGAAATTGAGTAGGGTGAAGGAGAATGAAATGAGTTATTTAAGTTTATTTTGAGCCAGGGTAATTGAAATTATTATCATTCCTTGGATTAATCAGAAAACTTTAGGGAGAAAAAAGGAATTTTAGAATTGTTTAGATGAGGGCAGAGGTTCTATTGTAGCTAACATTTGATCTTTCAGGAACTTATTTTAGAAGTTTATTTAAGTGGTTATAATTTTTGACCCTGAAGTTTGTGTTACTATTTGACAGTTGTTTCTGTATCTCCACCCAATTCCTTTGTATCTGGAGTGATACCATTTTGTTGAAAAGTTTTCTTGTACGAAATTGTGTTTATCTTCTTTGTGAACTCTGTAAGGCATCAGAGGAGGTCCGGATTCTCCCTGTTCCATCTTCACTGGAGAGGGAGTCTCAATTTTCTCAGACCTAAGATTCAGTCAGTTATTTGATCTTGACCTTTATACCTTTTTATATTCATCTGAATATGACTGTGATATCATTCTTGAACTTTGGAGATTTTAAAAAATAGGTTTATCCTCTCTGTTTTGCTGATTGAATATATATTGGTTCCATTTTTGGATACCAGTTTTGCTGATTAGCATCTTGGCATTAAGAGTGATTCCTTAACCTAGCAACCTTATGCAGCCCCGCACAGATGTTTTAGCGACTGTTTTTTGATTGTTGTGAACATTTTGATGAGGTTTCTCAAAGTTTCATTTCCACATTTAACAATAGAATCATAGATATGTATCTGGCTTAAAAAAAAAAAAAGTGTCCTTTTTCTGCTCTTATAGGGGAATTCACAGACACTGCATTTCCTGACATATATTCCTTGGAGTTAGAGAGAGAGACATCTCTGGAGTGTGGCCTAGCATTTTCTCCCAAAGAAGTAAGTTAAGCTTTCTATTACTCACATTACTGGAGAGTTGTGGAGTTAAGATAATCCTAACTAAGAAGCTATTGAAGATCACCTAAGTTCTTTTTGTAGTGGGTCTTTTTCTACTTGTGAGCATGTCTGGGTATACCCTTTAATTCAGTAAAATGATCGCGGAGGTGTCTGGCTTCATGCTTGCAGTGTATCTCAAGAGGTGCAGAGGGCACACACAAGGAGCCTTCGTGGTCTTGTGGTCTCAGTTATGCTCTCTAGAAAATTCAAGATATGACATGTTGTGAAGGAGAGGAAAGTTGAGGCTAACCCCAAAATCACTTATATTTGAGCCAGCATGTGCTTTCTACTTATATTTGAGTGGGGTATGCTTGATGTTCTTAGAATCATCACCTGAAATCACCAAAGACATGCTGTGAAGATTTAAGAGGGGTTGCTATAACACTGGTTCTTGGGTAGTGTCCCTCGATGTTTGGTGATTTAAAAACACCAACGAAAACAACAAACAAAGAAAATCAAAGAAAAAAACCTTTCCTAGAATGTGCCCAGGAGGAAGGGATACCACTGGCAAAATTTCAGGGGCAATCTCTGATACGCTTTTGCTTTGAAGGCAATAGAAGTGCCAAAGAGAGAGCGTCTTGCTACCTATTATATGGAAAGACATGTCGCTGCATCCTCCCAAACAAGAATCAAACTGCTATATGGCAATTAGAGTATGAAACTCTTATGTCAAAACATTTTTTATATTCCAGCATAACTAGCATGATGCCTTGTACCCAGTAGGTGTAGGATAGAATCAACTAAAGGAAAGGAATTAAAACACAACAAGAAGGTGTATTGAATGCTAACAAAGTACATCTTTAATAATCCATTTTTTAGTAATGTTACTAAACTACAGAGTTTACTGAGATTAAAATCTTATTTTAGGAACAATAATAGCTGTTATTTAGCTTTCAGGAGGAAAAAGTCAAGAAAATTTAAGGACACATTCAGATTTAAGAAAATGCTAAAGATTAATTTTGCCTTCTTAGGTGCAGTACATTAGCTGGGATGTATTTTGTGGGTTTTGTGCACATATGGTTCACATGGAATGATAATGTCTACAGAGTTCACTCTTTTGTCTGTTCTAGTTTTTGACAATCATAGTGGATGAGATATCAAAGGTTACTCTTCCGATATTAAAGAAAATGAAAAATTTTAATTTTATATACAACATTAAGTTGTATTATACAACATTAAGATGTATACCATACTATATTTGATTTCTACAGGTTTAGTGTGTAATAATTAAGATGTATACCATACTATATTTGATTTCTACAGGTTTACTGTGTAATAATTATTCATCTACATTCATGAACCAGTGACATTTAGATAGATACTCTTTAGCAGGGTTATCCAGAAGAGAGAGAACATCTTTGCTTTTTTTGAAAGTCATTTTAGGAATAGTTTCCTTTGGCCTAATTTGGGCTATCAGATAATAACAAAATACACATTATTTACATTTTCCTTTTATCTTTTCAGCAAAGGATTTTGAAGTGCATGAAATATTGTCAAGGTATTACAATTATTTGTTGAATAATACAATCTGTGACTTGTCTTTCTAATTCAGAGAAAAGCATAATTAACAAGTTATTTGAAGAGATTCAGAGGATGTTTATCTTTTTAATTTTTACAGTATTTTAATAGCTTTCAAAGCCTACTCAACTCCCACATATCCTAACGATTTGCAGGTTTTCTCAGCATCATCTTATATTTCAATCTTGCATATCAGTGATATTCTCCTCCTGATTATTAAAGTCTCTTGTCAAAATTAAATGGGAAGTTTAGAAAAGCAGAACGAAAGAATACAAAATAAATCCTAATACATAACAATGACCTCTGTTTATATTTTGGGGTATCTTTGTTTTTTCTCCTTCTATCTCTATACTTATATTTCTATGTCTATAATTATAATGAAATAATACTTTATGAACATTTTTAACCTGCATTTTTTTTGCTGAGTGTATTAATTTAAATGTTATCAATTGCTTTTTGTGTCATTAAGTATTCTAAATGCAATTTAATTTTTTAGGGATAATATTTTATGGCTATACTATGTTACAGTTATTAAACTAATCCTTCTTACTGTACACTTAAGATTTTTCCATTTTTTGACTCTATAAATGATTCTGTAAGAAACATCCTTGTAAATAACTGTTTGTTTTCACATTATAGGCGTTCATTATATCATCCTAGAAGTAGAATAATTGAGTCAAGCTCTGTGCACATATTTTAGGCTATTGATATGTGTTGTCAAATTGCTCTTCAAAAAGGTTATACCAGTAGTATTAGCCACTAGTAACAGTGTAAAATGTTGCTTACTGTCGTCTTTCTTTGTACAACTAGGTTGCATCCATTATATATGTATGTGTATGTCATATTCTGCCAACCTCAGAGGTGAAAGGTGAATTTTAAATTGCACTTAAAATTCTTTGATTCTTCTTACATAACAAGCCACCATACAACAGTAATGATTTATTTGCTAACAATTTGGCCTGGTTGGTACTATTAAAATTCTTTTAATTCTCTGGTAGGATAACTATATTCTTTTCCTTTTAAAATACCATTGGCCATTTTTCTTTTAAATTTTATTTATTTATTTATTTTTGGCTATGTTGGGTCTTCATTTCTGCACGTGGGCTTTCTCTAGTTGTGGCGAGTGGGGGCCACTCTTCATCATGGTGCACGGGCCTCTCACTGTCGCAGCCTCTCTTGCTGCGGAGCACAAGCTCCAGACACGCAGGCTCAGTAGTTGTGGCTCACGGGTCCAGTTGCTCTGCGACACGTGGGATCCTCCCAGACCAGGGCTCGAACCTGTGTCCCCTGCATTGGCAGGCAGATTCTCAACCACTGCACCACCAGGGAAGCCCCTTGGCCATTTTTCTTGATGAACTTTAGAATCTTTTTCTTGAGTTTATAGCTAAAACTTCTATGGTAATTTTGGTTTGTGTTGCATTAAATTAATAAAAAATTTAGAGAGAAGTGGTTTCTGTATAAAATTGAGCTTCATATTCAGAAAAAAGATATGCCGTTTATGTTATTAAAGCATTTTATACTGCTCAGCAAAAGTTTGAAATATTTTGAAATAATTTTTCTATGCTGTTTTGTGCAGTGTAAATGATTGGGTTTTATTATTTTTATGCTCTCATATCAATATTTTGAAAATAAATTATGTTGATGAGGTGTAAAACTGTTTATCTTACTTTAAGCATCAGTTACTTTAAATTATCCTTCAATTTATTTTAGATTTTTTTTAGGAATACTGTAATAGATTGCAGGGCTTCCCTGGTGGCGCAGTGGTTGAGAGTCCGCCTGCCGATGCAGGGGACACGGGTTCGTGCCCCGGTCCGGGAAGATCCCACATGCTGTAGAGCGGCTAGGCCCGTGAGCCATGGCCGCTAAGCCTGCGCGTCTGGAGCCTGTGCTCCGCAACGGGAGAGACCACAACAGTGAGAGGCCCGCGTACCGCAAAAAAACAAAAACAAAACAAAACAATAGATTGCAAATATTTGTCTCTTCCATTTTAATAATGATAATTTTTACGACTTTTTTCTTATCATACTACCTTGTTTAGAATTTCTAGAACAAGATCAATTATTTTTCTTGGCTTATCTTATTCCTAATTTCCTATGAAGCAATATGCTTTAAGGCCATGTTGGGAAATATCTTTCACATACTAATTTAACACACGTTTTAACCCAGGATAGATGTCGTTTCTTAATCTAGTCAGATATCTGTATGTCATCAATCATATTATTATTCAAAGGAAGAAAACAGTATGATATATAGTTCAACATTATATTTGTAGCATTAATATATTTTTTGGCACATATCAGACAATAAGTATTCGACGAGTGAAAGTGCAGTGAATAAACTGGCATGTTCATTTCTGAGGACTTGTTCTGTTGTTTCTTTTGGATATTTAGAATTGGAATTGGTGAGGAAAGGTTATGTGCTTTTTAATTATTGGTACATATATCCACATTGTCACCACCAAACTTGTATCAGTTTATATTTCCATCAATCATCATCATTCAACAAATGTTTATTGGGCACCTACTAGGTATCCTGCATTATTCTTTTTTTTTTTCTTTTTTTTGTTTTTTGCGGTACACGGGCCTCTCACTGCTGTGGCCTCTCCCTTTGCGGAGCACAGGGTCCAGACGCGCAGGCCCAGTGGCCACGGCTCATGGGCCCAGCCGCTCCGCAGCATGTGGGATCTTCCTGGACCAGGGCACGAACCCGTGTCCCCTGCATCAGCAGGTGGACTCTCAACTACTGCGCCACCAGGGAAGCCCCCTCCTGCATTATTCTTGACTTTAGGATTATAGTAGAAAGCTTACATCCTAATGTGGCACCAAGCTGTATTTTCTTCACATTGTCTTCGCACTGGGTATTATAATCTGCTAATATAAAAGACACATGTGACAAAAGTCCCATGTATCTCTTTTTCATTTGTCACTTGTGCTTTTTGGTATCATATCTAGGAAGCTACTACCTAACTCAAGTCATGAGATTTCTATATTTGTTTCTAAGAGTTTTATTTAGAGTATTAACTTTTACATGTAGGTCTGTAATCCATTTTGAATTATTTTTTGTGTATGTGTGATATGAGTCCAGTTTCATTCTTTTGCATGTGATGTCCATTTGTCCCAGGACCATTTTTTGAAAATATTATTTTACCACATTAAATTGCCTTCACACTCCTGTCTAAAATCAATTAAACATAAATATAAAAGTTTATTGCTGGACATTCAATTATGTTCCATTGATCTATATGTCTGTCCTTATTCCAATAACACAACGTCTTGATTATGATAACTTTGTAGTTTTTATAATTGGAAAATGTGAGTCCACCAATTTTGTTCTCCAGTAGTATTTTTGACTACTTTGTGTCCCATGCATTTCCATATGAATTTTAGGCTCACCTTGTCAATTACTGCAAAAAGTCTGGGTGGGAT